TCCTAAACCAAGCTTGGCACCCTCCCAACCCCCGCGTGGCACATGCCAAATTTGGTGGGGGTTGGGCCAAATCCTTGCTTGGCCAAGCCCAAGCAAGGGTGCTACCCGTGCCAAAACCACCCAAACTTAACACAAGGTCCCTCCAAGGAGGTTGTGCAGCAAATTTGTTTTTCACCTCTGTGGAGAGGCTTTGTTAAGCTCAAAAACCACCCCTGTTAAAACAAAAGACTTGCTGTCTTTGTGTGTTGCAGGTGTATGAGGAAGTGAGGCAGTGAGGGGTGTCAATTGAATTGGCCCAGAGGGACTTGGCTGTGTGCCAAGATCCAAGCCCCGCCCAACCTGGCCGATCAAGCCCCCTGGGCACACTCTCAAGCCCTGGTGGCGCTTGGCCAAGCGGGACTTGGGATTGTGCCCAGCATGACTTGATACACCATATGTAGATTATTCTAACAATAATGTATAACATTTACAAGTATTCAATTAATTATTAATTTTGCAGTTACTAGGTGCATTTCACATACTGTGAAATGTGCTCTGGGAGCTCTATGCTTCAACCAGTAATGGTATGTGAGGCAAGTTATTGGCACTTGGCACTTGTTATGATGATGAAAGTGTTATGGCTGTATTTCAATATAATGTATTTTTATGGCTGTAAATTGTATTTTTAATATATTCTTTAATGTGAGTCGAGATGATCTGGTTGTCTGGTGGGATGATGGATGGAAAAACTGACAGGCAGAGGCCTCCTTTTATAGATAAATGTGAGGGAGGTTAGCTCCAGGGTACATGCTTTGAGGCCTGGAAATTCAATGAAGAAATTTAGATAGTCTAATGCATGCAGGTGAGGGATATTAGCTAGTGAGAGCACCACCTTGAGGGATATTAGCTAGTTACAGCACCACCTTGAGGGATTTTGGCTAGCCTACAAGGTCCTACTGCAAAGGAACGCATGTGCACCTAAAAAGGAATTCAATAGGCAATATGAGCTAATAAAGGACTTCAAAATGAAACAAAGGAACTCAATAGTGGAGTTCATGATAGTGTCTTTTGCTTCTCACACCTGTTATTTTTTTTTCTTGCTCACACTTTGCTGATGTTAATTTTCTCAGTGAAAATTTAAAGTTCTGCACTAAATCTTAAGTCTACACTGACAGCAGTGCTGTGGTTTCTCACGTGAGAAGAAATTGCTTCTTGCAAGAAGCTATCATGAACCCCTCTAATATCAAATATGCATCCAGTATTCAAAATGAGCTATAGTCAGAGTAAAGAATCCAAGAGGTATCCCGTGACAGGTTGAAATCCGTGTAACTTCCAACTATGAGAGATATGGGGGTAGTTGTAGTGAGTGACTAGGGGTTAGTTTGGCTGTGAAATCCAGTTTTGATCTTATTTTTACCTTATCTATGATATATAATGAGATAATAATAATTGTTTTTATTTTTTACATAGAAAAATAGTATCATTTACCACCCAGGTCACAGCACCCTTGCCTGCAAAGAGAGACCTTCTGTATTTGTCAATGTAATTGCTGCTTCTGCCCATTCAGAAATCAAAGTTGATTTTGAAAAATATGGCAGGCTCCCTGACATTGTCCTTTGCCATCTTGGACCTTTTGAACGGTGCACAAAACATTTTAA